ACAGGTGATAGAGCACCCTGTTTAGGAGGTTACCATGTTGCCATTTTTTGGCTGCATGCTCTTTGGAAACGTGTTTCATTTTTCTGGGTCTCCATTTCCTCACACGGAAAATGGAGCTAAGAGAAGCATCTATTGCACAAGGGTATCGTAAGAGTAAAACTAACTCACACAAAACACAGCACCATGGAAAGTTTCTAATAAATGTGCTGCTGTACTCCCTGGGTTTGAATCCTGGCCCTCTCCTATAATAGCTATGTGACTTGGACCATGTCTCTTAACCTCCCTACATCTCACTATCCACATCTCTCAAAGGAGAGTCAGAGACCCTCATAGGTTATGGCGAGTAGCTGAACTCATATAGGTAAAGCTCTGAAAATAGTCCCCAGCCAAGCTAAGTACAGACCCAGTTCCTATGCTGTTGAAATTCAAATTCTTCTTAGCTTTGGAAAGAGATGAAACTCAACAGACAATTAAGCAAAAAGTTACAAATTGAGATGAATGCTGTGAAGTCAATAAAATTAAAACAAAGTTGAAAAAAAGCACAGTGAGAGAAAGCTAATATATTAGTTGGTCAAGGGAACCTTTCCCAAGGAAGAAACATTAGAGCTGAGAGCTAAAGGACAGAATGAAAAGGACCAAAAAAAAAATTTTTTTTTTTGCAGTACAGGGATTGAACTCAGGGCCTGGTGCATTCTAGGCAAGTGTTCTGTCACTGAGCTACACCCCTAGTCATTTACTTTATTTAATTTTTTTTTTTCTTTTTTTTTTGTTTTTCTCCGGTACCAGGATACTTTATTTAATTTTGAGAAAGGTCTTGCTAAATTGTTCAGGCCGGCTTTTAACTTATGATTCTCCTGCCTCAGCCTCCTGAGTAGCTGGAATTACAAGCATGCACCACTATGCCCAGCATGCAGGAACCATTTAATCTCAACCTTGTCAAGGACTGAAGAAAAAGCCTTCATGGCCAGGAGCACATTTCAAATCAAATTCCTAACAATACTGGCCATGGAAGAAATTCTTAACATGAATATGACATGTTGACATAGACATGATATAAACTGATATAATGTGATATGAGCACTGGGGCCAAATATAGCTGCTTGAACCTTGCTGGGCATTAAATTAAATAAGCTGGCACACATGCTATAGTCAATACTAGTATGTACAACTTTAGGTACGTGGACCCTTGCAGACCTAATTTTTCTAAATAGTTAATCAGATCTAAACCTTCCTATTTAATGACATATTTAAGATACTAAAAGTACAGAAGAAGCAGAAAGAACTATTATTTTTAGGCTTGCACCAAGTCAAATTTAGCTGGCAACACTAATTGATGTGTGATTTGTTTCTATGTGTCAAATATCTTGATACATAACACATGGAGGTGTGCATGTTGTGCTGTAGTAGTGTTTTGTTTTATTTATTTATTTATTTATTTATTTATTTATTTATTTATTTATTTAGACTAGGGTCTCACTATGTAGTCCAGGCTGACCTTGAACTCACTGTGTAGCCTAGGCTGGCATTGAACTTGTGGTGATTCTCCTGCCTCAGTCTCCCAAGTGCTGGGATTACAGGTGTGCACCACCATGACCGGTTTCTAGCAGTGTTTTAAATAGTTAGAAATATACATATTAAAACACGGGAGGAAATGTCTGTAAAATCCCTAACATAATGTCACTAAACTTCAGTGTCACAGAAGTTTGCAAAGCAGCTCTGTAGAAAGATCCCAGGAGAGAAAGAATGAACTTACTACTGTTCTCCATTCTCTTCCAATTGACTGGTTTCATTTCATTCATTCAGTTAACTAATGTTTTGAGCCTTGTCCCCTTACGCTTTGCTATCTGTCCTTCTGTCATCTATTCTGTGCCCTTTCTGGCACTGGTTCATGCCCTGGAAGGTGGGAGGTGACTCCTAAGGACGACACCAGTCAGGACCAATTTGCCGTCTGCCAAGGCAGGGGAGCAAGGCAGGAGATCAAGGGCAGACTGTCTCATCACTCAGGATGCGAGGTTTGGCAGTGCGTGGACTAGCAGACCAAGGGCCCCTGCGGGGTGACACGCTAATGCACCTTCAGCAGTGTCCACCAACACTCAGAACGCCATTTCCTCCCCTTCCTTCTAGGCTTAGGTGGTAATGGCTCTGCTCTTTTGCAAGTCTTGATGCTTCTTCAGCCTTTGTGGATTCCCTTAAGCTTGCCCACACTTCTGTGACTTGTCCCTTCATTCACAGCTCTTCAAGATCCAAACTGAGTGTGCTTTTTTCTTCCAGCTAAGACACTGACTTAAACAAGTTTCTACTATGTTCTAGACCAGTGCTATCCAATAAAATATAACAGGAAGCACAAATGCAATTATAAACTTTCTTGTAGTCATGTAAAAGAAAAAACAGACAATGAACTTTAATAAATTTTATTTAATTGTATATATCCAAAATACTATTTTAATGTGTAATCATAAAATTTACTAATATTTTGTATTTTCTTATTCATGTGACATTGTCAAACTCTAATATGTATCTTACTCTTGCAACATATGTGTAACATATCAAATTCAATTAGTCACATTTCAAGTGCTCAGAAGCCACATGTAGCTGGTGGCTACCATACTGCACAGAGCAATTTTAGGTACTCTGTTAGGGCTGGAAGATATAGACAACACTTGGAGCCGAAGACTAATTTTGTCATCAAGGTGCATAAATGTAGGTCTGCCAGACCCATGTTTATTCTTTAAAATATTTCTATTGATGAATTATTAATTTTATTTTATGAGTGTTATTATATTAAACAATGAGTACTTAACAAGAAAAAGTCACAAAAATAAAGTAGTGAGTTTTTAATATTTATTGTTTATAAAAAATCTTCACATGTAATCCCAGAACTTGGGAGGCTGAGGCAGGAGGATTGCTGCAAGTTTGAAGCCAACATGGGCTATAAAGTAAGTTCAAGACCAGTCTGAACTGCATAGTGAAGCGTTGTCTCAAAAAAACAAAAAAAAATTTTAAAAAGCATCAAAATTTTCAACATTGGCTGGTTTTTGGTGTATAACTTCTGAAAAAGAACATCAGAAATAGATTCCTATATGAACTACATGAAAATACCAATAGCACTCTACAAAAAAACTAATCTTTACTTCAATTAACACAACTAAGGCAGTCTGCACACACCACAACAGCACATTCCATATTCAAACATCGCTTACACTGATGGCGCATCTTTTGCTTTCCTGGCCTTTTTGTAGGACATACTTGACATCTCAGTGGTCTTGCTGTTTTGTCAGGAGGTTCTTATTATATTATACAGTGTGTAGTTAACAGGAATATAAAATATCAATAACATAGCTGAGTGTGGCGGTTCACACCTGTAATTCTAGCACTCAGGAGGCTGAGGCAGAAGGATTGCTTTGAGTTTGAGACCAGCCTTGGCTACAAAGTGAGTTCAAAGTGCATAATGAAACCCTGTCTCAAAAAAAGACAAAAAATTTAAATTCTTAATATGTATTGTGCATTTAGAAGAGACATCAACTTTTGCACATCAGCTGTGTACTTGCCTACAAAACCAAAAAGATAGCATCAGAAATAAATTCCTATGTGAACTACAAGGAAAATATCAATAGGACACTACCACAAAAGGAAGCTTTGCTTCAGCAGTCACACCCAAAGCAGTCTTCACACATGACAACTATATGCTCCATGCACACATCTCACTTACACTGACAGCACATGTGCTTAGCTTTCCTTTCCTGTGTGGCAGTCTTGTCACCTCTCTTCTCTCTTGTTTTGTCAGGAGCTTCCTACTATATTGTACAACATGCACTTAGCAGGGAATTAAAATGTCAATAAAATACAATATCAAATATGTAATGAATGCTTAGAATAGACAACATTTTCATACCAGCTGTTTACTTGTTTACAAAACCTAAGAGATAACATCAAAAATAAAAACCTGTGTAAACTACAGCGTAAACACAAACAAAAGTCTACCACAGAAATAAGCTTTGCTTCAACTGTCATACCCAAGGCAGTCTTCACACATGACAACTGCATTTCTCTACACAAGTATTGCTTGCACTGATAGCACATATGTTTTGTCTTCCTGTACTTTCTTGTAGGGCACAGGTGACATCTTTTTTGCTTTTCTGTTGTCATAGAAGGTCTTTGCGATGCTGCACCTGCCTGTTCACCTGTCAGCTCACCAGTGTGCTCCACAATTTTTTTGTGTAGTTCCCTGGGCAGAAACATTTTGTTTTTCCTCTGCTGTAATGATCTCTTATGAGCTCCAGTCCCAATCCTCTAAGAAAATTTCTCTGTGATATTTTGCACTTGTTATTTTCTTTGTAAACTATCAAACTATGTTACACATTTCATTTATAATTTCTGTTTTGTTCCTTTGCACAATTCCTGCACTGATCAACTTGGCTCTGTGAGCAAATGTTACACCAATTGGAAAATGATGAACCAATTGTTGAATGTCATGATTAGTTTGGGAGATAGAAGCAACAAGTCTGTTCACAACATCATTTGGTTTATTACTATACAAATAAGGACCTAATGACTGAGTTCCAGGATAAATCTAAGCTGAAAGAATATAAGTCTTTGTGTCTACAAGGGCATAAGTTTTCATGCCATATTTTGACCCATCACTTTTCTATAAGTCTTTTGCATTCCTGTGATCACCATGAGAAATCCGTGCTAAGTAGAGCAAACCTATGAATGCTTCCAGTTCAGCTAGTGGGGTGTCATAATAAATACATTTTTGAATATAGCTATTGGTAGATACAGAATGTTTTACTTGCATTTCAGCCTTTGAGTACTTCACAGCACTTGAAGCATTTCATCTGTTACAGTGTCTAACACTGAATGGCAGTGCTGGCATTTTGTTCAATAAGTTTCACCCCTGCCAAGACCTTTAGTATATTTTTGGACCAAGTTCTAACACTGAATTGTTCCATTTGGTTGCATGGCCATTTCACAACATTTTGACCAGTCAGATATGTACTTACCTTGCTGTTTTATTCATCATCTGAAACAAGGAGGTCTGCATTCTCTGTGTTTCTATCAGTTGATTCTTGATCCATTTCACTGTCACAGGAACTTTGGCTCCTATGGCCAACATCAAAGTCATCATCACTGTTGTCATCATCATTGCCGTTGTCATCATTATACACCCACACCACTCTTCTGTTATGAAAGCAGGTAGTTTACCTTCACGGATCACCATCATCCATGCATGAGTAATATGATGGTTCACTTTTGATCTCCTCCAAAACTGCAAATCTGGTTTTTCATGTGCCATTGTGTTGAATTGGGCTACTTCTACCAGAAAAATCAAAAGAAAACTTTTTTAAAAAACAAATCCTGGAGTGGTGCAGGTCTAATGGACCCTCTGTGATGCTCAAGTAAACATACACAAAACCAGTTGGAGCATAAAGGTGGGTCCAAATCCTATTTTGACACTTTTGCACATGTACACATTCCTAGCTGTGCATCATACCAAGTGTGTAAACACATGGATTGCTTCCTGTGTCCCTCAGAGAAAGGTACTGAGATACACAGCCAGTTACTATTACACTAAAGTACAAATTTATGGTAGAAAAGTAAGGGATGGGCCCACTGAACCCAGTCTTATGTTTTAACGTAAAGATAACATTCACAGTATCATGCATTTGGTGGTCCAGTGGGAAAGGTGAACAAGTAAAGCATTACAAAACAGTACAGCGAAGGCCAAATTAGTGCTTTGCACAAGATGCTATGGGAATGGAGCTCTTTCCATCAGTGGATTGGAGATGTTAATGGTAACATCTGAGTGGTAATATCTGAGTGAATCCTAAATGCCAAACGATTCTACCAAGAAAACAAGAGTGTGGAGGGGCAATGCATGAAGATAGATCCCTCAGCTTTCCATCTTCCCTAGCTATGTGAGCAGCTGTATCAGCTCTTTTTTGAGTACAGACTGGTACCTACCCACCAAGGGAACACTTGACTCTGCCTATTATTCTGGCCTAGGAGTAGATGGACCTCTGCAATCTCAGCACAGCCTCTGTGAGGAGAAGTCTTTGAAGGAAACTTAACTAGGAAACAAGAAAGAAGATGGTGGTGAGATACATTTCTGTGGGAGAATGCCTATCAACAGATATGCGGAAAGAACCTGGGTATGTTTTCCTGAGGTGACATAACTCTGGCCACTGATTGGCTGAGTTGGCTTAGGTTCCTGGGCACGAAGCCCAGCATTATTTTTCTCATCTTGTCTCTTTTCTTTGTTATTCATAAGCACTGTCACTGGCCAGGCATTAAAGCCTATTGTTCCTACATCTGGCAACATTATTATTGCTCATCATTTCCCCCTGTGTATGATCCTCATTTTTCTAGCGGTCCTGAGAACTTGAGGACCAACATCAATATCCCCATGGTCTGTATCTTCCATTTGAAAATCCTCCCGCTGATTCTCTCTGCTTTGAAGGGAGGATACACTTACATGGCCCCCACAAAAGGAATCATCACATTTCCCTATCTCAACTTATCTTCTTAGCTTACTTCATTATATATTTTTGGAAGACATGCCTGATTCTTTTGAAAACTCCACATGTCAATTTCCTAACATGAAAGTACTGCACACATAAAATAATAACAAAATAGAGTTGACCACCTTCTGAGCCTAGGGATGCACGTAAGGAAGTAATTAGGTGTCCTGCAAATCTGTTCGGGTGACTACACAGTACTTAAGAGTTGGTGAGGATTTTTTAAGGCTACACAAGCAGTAATGGAAGAGGAAAGGAGGATAACTATTCTTAGATGCTAGAAAAGAAGTATGCACTTAATTCAGACAAACATTCTGGCGCCTTTCGGTACGAGCAGAATTCTGATTTCCAGAAGGTTGGAGAGCTGTGGCTAGCTGTTTACATCCTTTGTCTGCAGCAGTCAGATGGTATACACTATAGCCTTATTTTCCTTGTCTCCTTCTTAAATCAACCATAAATCATTTTCAATGCCGAGCTTTCCACAAAAATTCCCTGTGGTTTCTTTCAGTCTCTCACTCCAACTATCACGTTGCGATTCCCATTGGCAATAATGTCAGCATCTGTTCTCCATACCAGTACTATTTGCAAATACTTTGAGACGAAGTCCTTGATTACCACTCAAAAGTTCAACTTCTGTTTTCTCAGAGCCAAACACATACTGTATTATCCAGTTTAAATAGTTTCCAATCCTCATCTGGGCTTCGGCCTTCATCAGTTCTTCCCATTACTCATGTTATTATTTTTTATTGCTTTTAATCCTCTTCTTTCAGTTCACTCACTGTACAAATTATTAACTTTGGTCTTGAACATCGCTAGCTTTGCCATTTGGAGCTGTGCTTCATTCCCTCCCTAAAGACTCTCTCAATACAGGATACTGCGGATTCTAAGAGGTTTTTACTCTCAAAGGCAATTTACTGCTGCTACCTTTTTGTGTTTTCTCCACTTGGTCTAAAATTTGTCTAAAAAAATCAGTTACTCTTGAAGAGAAATTCCTATGGTTTACAATTTCTTTCATCTCTCTCTGACTTGAAATATCCGTGGTTTTATTTGTTTGATGTGTGTGTTTATGTGTGTGTAGCTTGGTGTATGAGGGTGTGTGTGTGTGTGTGTGTGTGTGTGTGTGTGTGTGATTTAATTTTGCCTTGTTTTGTTTATTTTTTCTAAATGACTTGGTTGAACAGTTCTTGGGTCAAACAGAGTTGGGTGTGTACCATCCTGAGCACTGTCAGCCAGTAACATTTTACAAGTTGCCCTTTTTGTACAGACATCATGGTTTTGGACTTGTGAGAAAAATATATACTCATGTGCTTACACGTGCATGACTGTATACACAGGCAAAACTAACTCTGAAATGAAAACAACACACTGAGAAAGATATTTTTCCAAACCCAGGAGACTAAAGGGGCCACGTTGTTATTTGCATGAAGAACTCTCTTAAAAGTTAATCAAAGATATTTATGCACTTTCATAAACTGTAATGAAAAGTATTAATATCCTAATGTTATTCCTAATAATTTTTAAGGTTCTATACATTAGGCAATGTTCTACATGCTTTATGTCAAGAAATTCATTTGATCCTTTTGAAACTCTACAAGTTAAGAACTATTTTTACCCCGTTTACAGATGAGAACACTGAACCACAGAGAGGTGAAGTGACTCACCCAGGGTTTCACAGCCAAAAAATGGAAAAGACACAATTTGACAATTCACATAAGATAAAATGCAGTCTCATATGGAAAAATGTTCAAGACTGCCAGGAATCAAAGAAATGCAAATTAAAACATTAAGTATCATTTCATACTACACCTTTGGGGAGGTTTAAACTGTTAGTCTCAGACATGGCAGCAACAATGTCTACCATATGTAAGCTTACATATATATATATATATATATAAAATAAATAATGGTAAAGAGACTCTTTTTAACTTAGTAACCACACTCAAAAAATGTATTCTTAAAAAGTTATTTAAAAGCGGGAGGAATATAAATAAAATTTTGCTGCTGCATTTTAGGTTATCAAATATTGAAAACAATCTAAATAGCTTCCAAGCATAGGAAAAGTGTAAGTAAACATGGCATATCAGTGAAATAGAGAACATGTAACTATTGAAACTACAATTATGAGGGATAATAGTTATATAGAAAAGTTATAATGTTAAGTCAAGTAAGCCAAATATACAATTTTACCTCTTTTATGATTGTAACTCTGAAATTATGTGTACATATGTTCAAGGACTGGATGGAACACAAGAAGGAAACTTGACATGTTAGATGGCATAATGCTATGTCTATCCCTTCCCTATTTTTAATTATCTTTATTTTTTTGTTTGTTTGGTTGGTTGGTTTTTTTTTTGGTTTTTCTCCGGTACCGGGAACCGAACTCACGACCTTGCGCTTGCCAGGCAGGCGCTTTTGCCGCTGAGTTAAATCCCCAGCCCCCAGATTTTAACTTTTTTTTTTTTTTTTTTTTTGGTACCAGGAATCAAACTCACAACCTCAGGCTTGCCAGGAAAGCACTTATGCCGCTGAGCTATATCCCCGGTTATCTTTATTTTTGTTATTTTCTATATGATGGCAAAATCAGGAGTTGGGAAAAAATAGAAGATGCTGTTTCTATTTTTTGGTAATCCATAATTTCATTGAGAATTCATAGAATCACTGACTTTTGGAGCTCAAAGAAACTATTAGATTCTTGGTGCAATGTCCTGATTTTACAGATAAATACTCTGAGGCAGAAACAGACTGACTTCCTCAAACACACATATTTAATTAGGAACCAGAACTTACATCTCCAAAAATGACTCTCAATCATTTAGGGCACATTTTCTGCAGAGGAATTAGGTTTTTAGGACCCTATCTTGAAATAGACCATGTTGATAAAAATGATTACATTCCCTTAATCCTACTTTCTTATCTGCGGTATCAACCACCGTTTTTCCCCCGCTTGAAATAAGCTTATGCCTGAACAAGAGCCTTGTCCAATTCTTGACAATATAGTATACATCATGCATATTTTTGGCATTTCAAGAAATGTCATAATATTTATGAAGAAGATGAATATTTCAATAACAATAGGAAAGCTGCTAGTCATTTTCCAGTGATGGAAACTGCAGGAATTCAATTAAGATTTGATACATTGATTAAACTGAATTTCACCTTCAAACATTTTTTAAAAAGGTTTTCTAACACCAACTGACTAAAAAAGCGATTTCAACTTCTTAAAAACTAGTTACTGGTATAGAAATGAAGAATATAAGCTGCTCTATAAATGTTTACCCAGCCTTCAGAGAGACCCTCATCTACCCAACTGTGACCACAAAAAAAAGCACGCCTTTGGGAAAAGTTCTGTGCAGCAGGTGAGGCTCTCTATTCTGAAATACTTAGATTATGACAGGTTCTGGTCGCGGTCTCTGGAAGGATGCGTGACAATGAAACAAGTGTGGGAAAAGGATAAAGAAAGTGTGGAACTTGCAGATTGGCAGAAATATCAAAATTGCTTCAGGGTGGGGGTGGGTCACGGCCACCAAGCTGATTTACAGGGAGTGTGGAAACCTTTAAGTGCTTACTACTGGAGTCCCAACACACCTGGGCAGGTGGCTTCTGCCAGCGAATCTCTCGGGTCACTGGCCAAACAGCACCAGCAGGCAAAGTGCTAGCGATGGCTGCTTCCCCCAGGGCTCTGCACTTGGTCTTCACAGCAGTAGCACTGGCTTTGGGCACGGGGCGGGAGCACGACCTTCTCACTGGGCTTGGTGAGAGGGCCTGGCCGCCACGGAGTAGAGGTTAAGAAGGCTGTTGAGATCCCCTAGGAGCTAAATGAATTGAAATAAAAGAAAAATAAGGATTAAGACACGAAGACTCTTAGGAGGAGAAATGGCTTCTACATGCAAACTGTACTTTCACATTACTAAGTTACATATTTAGGTTAAGAGCTGCTCAAATTTACTAATCTCACTCTGCTTCTCACAACTGTAAACCAGTTCATAATTCATAGCACTGTTTGTTGTATTTTCCTTTAAGTCACAACTTGGTGGTCCTCAGTCCCGACTAAAGCTCACAATCTTCTAGAGAATAACAACCACAAATGCCTACCCCTGCCCCGACAGATGGAATTAGTACCAACCAGGAACCAGTAGGTTTTAGAAGTTTCACATGAGCTTCTATAGGCAACCAAGGTAGAGACCCATTGTTCCAAAATGGAGCAGTTAGAGGCCTTTTACAACAATTTAAATTTAAATATAGACAGGAGTTAATTGGGGGGATCTTATTAAAGTGCAGAGCCTGATTTGGTAGGTCCAGTTGGGGTCTGGGATGTTGAACTGCTAACAACTTACCCTGTAATGCTGATGCTACAGTCTACAAATCAATTTTTTTTTTATTTGTTTATTTGTTTGAGACAGGGTCTCACTATGCAGCTCAGACTGGCCTCAAACTCATGGTGATCCTCCTGCCTCGGTCTCCTGAGGGCTAGGACCACAAGTGTGTGTACCGTACCTGGCTGAACCCCTGCTTCTTTTTCTTGGGCTGGGGATATTGCTGTTTCCCAGGATAGTTTCAAACTTGTGGGCTCTTGTGAGTGCCCTGATTCAGCCTCTGAGTAGCTGGAACTACAGGCATGCAGCACTATACCTGGTATATAAATTGAAATTCTAACCTCAAACATGATTTGGGAGGTGATTATGTCACTGGTGGGGTCAGTCCCTTAGAACCCTGAGGGAACTCTGTCACCCTGCCATCATGCGAGGATGCAGTTATAGAAGGTATAATGTATGAAAGTAAGCTCTTACCAGACATCAAAACTGCCATGATCTTGGACTTCCTGAGCCTCCAACTCTTGGAGAAATAAATTTCTATGTAAGTTTAGGGAGAAATGAAGCCCAAGATGGCTGGGGATCAAACTCATGACCTTGCGCTTGCCAGGCAGGCCCTTGTGCCACTGAGTTATATCCCCAGCCTTTACCTTGCAATACTAGCACTGTGCCCAGCCCATTTTTCATCTCATCTAAGTAGAACCACACTACATTTGTCCTTTTGTGGTTGGCGTATCTTAGCGTGATGGCTTCAAAGTTCTTCCATGTTCTAACCTGTGTTGAAATTTCCTCCCTTTTATAGGCTGAGTGATATTCCATGGTATGTACTGGCCACCTTCTGTTCATCCTTTCTGTCTACTGATAGTTTCGTGGGTTGCTTCTACCTTTGGACTCCTGGGAATAACACTGCTATAGCATGGGCACACCAATATCACTTTAGGTCCCTGCTTTCTATTTGTTTGAATCTAATCTAGAAGTAGAATTTCTGAATTATATGGTAATTAGTTTTTTAGGAACCCCCATAGCATTTTCTATTTCCATCAACACTGCATGAAGGTTCCAGTTTTTCTGTATCTGAGGATTAGACCCAGGTCCTTGTGTATCCCAGGCTAGCTATACTACCCTGAGCCCTATTTCCTCTTTTCTGAAGTAGTTATCCTAATAGGTGTGAGGTGTTATCCCACTGTGGTTTTGATTTGCACTTCCCTAATGATTAATAACATTACATATTCTTCCATATGTCATTGGTCATTTGTATATCTGCTTTGGCGATATGTTCATTCAAATCTTTTGTTTGTTTCTATCAGGTTGTTTTGTGTTGTAGAATTATGAGTTATATATTCTGGATACTGAACCTTTATCACATATATAATTTTCAAGTATATATAATTTTCAAGTATTTTCTCCATTCTGTGGGTTGCATTTTACTCTTGTCAATTTAGTCTGTCCTACTGATTGTGTTTTAATTTGTCCAATTTTACTGCCTGAGCTTTTAGTCCTGTCTGGGAAATCATTGGCAAATCCAATGTCATAAACTTTTGCCTTATGTGTTCTTCTAAGCGTTTGATAGTTTTAGGCTTCAATTTTTTTTTTTTTTCTTTTTGAGGCAGAGTCTCACTCTGTAATTCAAGCTGGACTTGGACTTGAACTCACTGTGTAGCCCAGGCTGGCCTTGAACTCACAGTGATCCTTCTGCCTCAGCCTCTTGAGTGCTGGAATTACCACCAATCCTCCCGCCTTTTTTTGCAACAGTCTGGTTATGTAGTCCAGGCTGACCTCAAACTTGTGTGATATTCCCGCCTCCACCTTCCAAGTGCTGCGATTACAGACATGTGCCACAATGCCCAGCTTTGTTTTGATTGAAGTTTTATATCTGGTATGTGGGTCCAGTATCATTCTTTTGCATGTGGATATCCAATTTCCCAACAACCTTTGCTGAAAAGCCTGTCCTTCCTTTGTTGAGTGGCTTAGACATGTACCAAAATTAATTGATTATATATGCAAAAGTTTATTTCTGGACTCTGCAAGAGCTAGCTTTGGAGTTATGCGAGGATCAGGTGAAACTGTGGCAGCAGGTAAGTCAGAACAGGTTCTAAGCTTGGATGACCGTCTAGGTCAGTGCTGATGAGCCTACAGCATGTGTGCAGCAGACGGCTGTTCATTCTCACTGAGAGCTCTAAAAGGTTCACCATCACTGACTAGGTAAATGGTAGGTGGGGTGAGGCTTTGAAGTAATCTTCAGCCTCTTGGGAAGAATCTGGCAAATCTTGTCAGTGTAGCTCAGGTTTTATCTCAGTTGTGACAAGTTGGACGGGTTGTGGTGACACTGGACAGTCCTGCAGGGTACTGTGAGAGAAAGCCCTGCGCTGTGGCAGGAGAGGATCTGCGTGAAGTTAGAGGAAGCATTACTCAAAGTGACCTTGGATGCTACAGAGTAGGTGGTATGGGAGCTAAACTTTGAGGACTTATTTCACGTGCTCTGTTTGGCTTTTTCTGAGTAGCACCTAACTAGATTTCTTCTTGGGAAGCTCTGAAAGGATCTCAAAAAAAGAAAATACTTATCGATATGATGGAGTTGGCTAAAACCATCATGATCAAATGCTGGTAGCGTGATGGGAACAAAGACTGAAATAGGAGGTGCTCACTGCATCTCGGACAAATGGGCATCCATCCTGAACTGTAGGCGTCTACAGAGCAGGGTCAAGCCACATTCATTTCACCCCTCTCAGTGGCTAGCAGCTTCTAGCACATGGTAGATGCTTATTAAATGTTTACTGACCTGAACTGAACACAAACCAGGAAGTTTTTATGGCTCGTTTAAATTACGTATACTATAGGAAGAGTCCATTTCTCTCTATTCAAAGGGGACAAAGGCTTGATCACTGACATGGTTTGTATCTAGATGGTCCCCCAAAGCCCGTGCGCTCAGAGCTGGGGGAAAGTGAGAGAGGTTAGAGGAGAATGGGGGCATGATATTCACGAGTGGATTAGTCTACAGAGTTTACAGCCAGATGTGATGTTGGTAGGTAAAGCCTGGTCAGAGGAGGTGAGTCACAGGGGTGGTGGCCTGGACAGGTCTATCTCTCTCCCTCCTCCTTGACTGCTCTCTGCTTCCTGCAAGCCTCCTCTGCCAGGCCCCTCTGCCATGCTACCTTGCCCTGGAGTCAGCCAACTGTGGATGAAACCTCTACAAACTGTGAGCCAAAATAAACGTTTCCTCTTTTAAGCTGTAGGAGTTGGGTGCTGTGTCCCAGTGACAAGAAAGTAACTAAGACAATCACCACCTGTATTAGTCAAGGTTCAGCAGAGACGTTACATACACACGCACACACACAGATTTTATTAGGAAACTGGGTATCCTAGCGCTAGGAGACAGGCTCTCCCTGGCCTTTGTTCTGTCTCGGCCCCCAGCTATGAATGATGCCCTTGCACACCGAGGGCCAATCTGTCCAGTTTATGCCAACAACTCACACGCCATTCCCCCCTGGAAACATTGCCATAGACCTACCAAGAAATAAGGCTTTACCAGTTATCTAGGTACCTTTCAACCAATCAAGCTGATGCCTAAAATTAACCACCCTACCACCCTTGGTACAAACAAAATAATCTATTAGCAATGATCACATTTCAGTTATTAAACACCCATGTTCTTCAGGATCACACCTACCACTTGATGTGCTTTATATTTTAATTCTTACAATAGTCCATAGGTAAGCATTTTTTCCATGTTGCAATTGAAGACCTTAAGACTTAGAGATACTAAATGTCTTACTGCAGGTCACACAACCATCAGTTGTGAAGCCAGGATTTCCATCTAAAATGGGCCCCGTGTTTCCTCTCTGATAACTCCTTTCTACCTGTGTCTACTTGAGGGCCCTCATTCTCATCTTCTGACAGGCTTCCTTTGAAGGTAAACACATTTTCTTCAGCCTCTAATCATGGCCCAAACAAACTATTAATAATCTTTTATCTGTCTCTGGCCTTTTCCCAAGTTCTCCATGTTCCTTGAGTTTGGCATCAACCCAACATTTAAAGCATTGTTCAGTGAAACACCCCCCCCATGAGTACACACACACAAACACACACACACACACACACACAAATTTTGACTTCAGTAAAATAAAACCATCTCCCTTTCCATTTTGAGTCAGCATAGAAACTATTTTGCACCATTTTCATATTCACAAAAAGCCAAAATTTTAAAAAGGGGAACAAGCAACTGAACACCTGCACCACATATTTTCTAGGTGCAAGAGCTGAGACCCTGGCACTGGAGACCTCAAAGTGAGAAAAGGTAACAGCTCAGTAGGCAAAGCAGGTCAAGTACCAAGATCTAACAGATGTTCAGTCTAATCTCTGTAGTTTAGAGCTCCAATTGTGGGTCCTGTTGCTATTTATCCCTTTATTCCCCTAGAATAGAACCTGGTGTTTCACTGGTACTCATTGGTAACAAGACAGTAATAGGGAGATCTTGTGTGTGTGTGTAGAGGGGGAGGGGATCAAAGACCAGGAAGGAAAGTGTCAGGAACTAGAGTATATCTTTGTTTTCAAAATTTTTCTAGTTACTC